CCTTGACGCGAAGGGGCGTTGGACCGGTCTACGCTAGACTCGCCGCTGCTAGACGTCCTCTTCTCTTCGTGGTCGTAATCATCTGCGGGAAACGCCCAAGCAAAACCCTTAGTTGGAGCCGCCGCCATGGGGTCCGGCATGCCAGACACGCTCCTGGGGTTGGGATTAATGACCGGAGCGCGTCGAGGGGGATGGTTGGCACGCGGAGCAGCACGATTAGGTGACAGAGGAGAAGTGCCGTTAGGGCGCGAATCAGGATTTGTGATGCCGCGTTGCTGCTGGAGGTTCGAGACAAGCGAGACTCGGGACGCATTTTGGCTCTCGTATGGTGACTGCGGGTGAATGGATAGATGACCCATGGTAGCGTTCATCCGACTGTCTACACTGCTGCGTCGAGAGTCGAAATGAGAGCCGGCATCGATGCTGAGCCGGCTGTCGAACCCTTGGTTGAGCGGAGGTAGAACACCATGCTACTGCTATGTTAGACGAGTTTATAGGCGATCATAAAATGCGTACCTGAGACGACTGGGAGAGGCCAGATGGATACCTCGCCGATGATGGCGTCTCGGGTATCGAACTTCTTGATGGAGAATCATCGGAAGGGTTGAGTAGTGTTTGCACGTGTAGTCCCAAGGACTGGGACATAGTTGATGAATCTACAAAGCGTGTCAACAACGTGCAGATGATAGGTATCGTGAGAACTCACGTTTGCTTTGGGCAAGAGACCAATTGCCTGAGTCGCGAACCTCGCGTGCTTCTGAGTGCTGCCTGGGCTGTGCTGGGGTCGGCTCAGCCGTAGGTAGACGGTTGGTGAGTGAGGACAGTGGCGGCAGAGATTGCTGGCCCTGAGTGATGTTGTTTTGCATGTTGTTCTGCGACATGTTTCCGTGCGGCGTGGTACGCTGAGAAACAGAGTTCATGGATATGGAGGCGGCGCACGAGGTACCTTATAAAATAGTCGTGCGTGCCCGCCGTTAGTGGTAGCGAGAGGGCTTTGGGCTCGTGATGATGTCCACACTCGAACGGGTGAGATAGTGGAGCCAGTGAGGCGCGGAATAATGACGTTTGCCAGAGCAAGTGGTTTTGGTCACTTTCGGCAATCGTAGATGGGCCAGGTGGGAAAGATGGGGAAGTAAGAGTAAAAGAGGGCCGAGTTCCGGGAAGGGAAGCTTGGATAAGGGTAGTGGCCGGGGCGTGGAGTGGAAGAGGGATGCAGGGCGTGGTAAGGGTAACGGGCAGCGAGGCCGCACGGGATATGGTTCGTTCCTCCCTGAAAGTAAAGATGGCAGTTGGGTTGAAGTGGGGCACGACGAATGGAGCGCCAAGACCGTCCCAACTCTAATGGCAAGCGCAAGGTAACGATCCACGCCGATTACCGCGAGAAGGGCAGGAGCGATGGCCGTGTCTTGCAGGAGTGGCAGCTGCGAGGGTGCCCGGCGTCAATGACTTCTTTTGGCGGTACGAGTCGAGACAAAAGCAAACAAGGTTCCTGGCAAAAACTCCACGAGAGCTGGAGATGCGGCTGCCGTGCTCTCCCTAGTCGGCGGATGCTGCAGCAGGGACAATACAAAGGTGCCTTTGCCCAGGCCAGATGGGACACGGCGTCCAGAGGGCGGGATCTGGAATTGACACGATGGAGGCGCCCTAAAAGACGAGTGCACGACGTGGGCGTCGAGCGAGGCGTCGTGGTGAGAATTGGCCAGCTGGGGCGGCTCTGGGGCGCGGTGGGTCGAGATGGTACCAGTTGACACGGCGACGAGGACAAAGTGTCGAGACTCTGGATTCGCGCGCGTGGGGAAGGAGAGCAGCAGTCAGCAGACTACCGGGTCGAGTACATGTCCTGGGGCGGAGGGCAGCAAGGAGCACAACAAAGCAGCGGGCAGCCGGCGGTCTAGCCGTAGGGACGTCGTACGACGTTGGGAAGGGACCTCTGGAAAGTGGAGGAGGTGCGGCGCAACAGAAAGCTAGAGGCGACGGTTGAGTCTTGACGAGTCGCAAGGGCAGCCAGGGAGCCAGCCAATTAATGGATATGGTGGTGCCCAGAGGTGAGCCGGCCGCACGTGGGAAATCGTTCAATCGAGGCCTCGTGTATCTTAAGCTGCCCGTCTAGCGGCGGCTAGCTGCACTTAATATGGGCTCCCTGCCTCCGCGCGCGAACTGGTGCACTTGTCATATGGCGGTGCCCATGACAGCAATTCCCTCTGCCACCACCGACCCGCGAGGGGCCACTCCGCCCGGCTGTGGCAGCAGAGGTTCGTTCCGCTCCAGCGTGCAGAGCAGACGCATGCGCAGGCACGGCATCCTGAGCGCCGCGAGCAGCAGACACGGGCGGCGAGCATGGCAGGGCCTTGTAGTTTGTCGTCACTTTAGCCAAACCCGTGTTGCTATCCCGCCGCCCGCTGTACCGCCACGAGGTCACTAGCCCTCCACGCCTGCTACCCAACCGGCCAAAGCGCCGAGCAAAAGCAAATTCTGCGACGCTGTCCTCCTGCGCCGATCCCTCATGGCCGCCTGCAGCGCGCGCATCCTTCTGTAGCCTGCATTCGCTGCCGGCATGCAGTAGTCGCCTTAGCCCGTGCCCATGCCAAACAACATGGCCATACTTGGCCGGCTAGCGCTGTGCGAGACCACGGTACAGAACGACTACTGAACATATCCACACTTCGCGTCTCCGGGGCCACCGACACTGCCCCCATCGTCGCTTTGTTCCGATGGATGCACTGATGCACTGAGCTTCACAAGTCTGCAGGGTACGGCGCTCCCGAACCCTGCTTCCCGCATGGCAATCATCCCGCTCCATTAACCAGTCCTCCTGGCCCGACTTCTGCCAGAACTCCCGCCGCCCACAGCCTCTTTTGCCCTGCCAATTATCCTCCGCGGTCACACAGGCGCTGTGCCTCCTCTGTACCCTTGGTAATAAACCCACCCCTTGCTCCTGTCCACTTTTACTCCATCGCTCTTTGGTCGAAATGGCAGATCGTGGGTGACCGTTACGTTTATCCCTACTTCTGCTTCTTGGAACCTGCAATGCACATGATGCTGAACCCTTGGAACCCGCATCCATCGACCAGGTTACACGGGACACCATGTGAGCATCGACGTCGCTGCTATCTCGGACGACCAGCCTCTGCACAGCAATCTTCCATCGATTATTGTTGAACTGTGAGTCCCATGTTCTTTGTAGCCGCCATTGGAAGCCCTGAACCATATCAGCGACTCAACCCGTCACAGTAATGACCAACATCATTCATGGCTCTACGATCACCCACCACGACCGCGGTGTTGTCTCAGACAAAGGATCACATCGGCGTATTCATCGGGGCACACGATCGGCTAACCTACTTGGAACGTGTATGCCTAGAACGACTATGACCATTGAAACTGGACTGCAGACGGCAACTGCTGCCGAAACATGTCCATCTTTACGCATCCTTTGGATCAGTATCACGTAGTCGGTCCAAGCCGGTCAAGCTACTCTACACCACATGGCGGTATCGCCGCCTCCTCGCACTGTACTCGGTCTGGCGGTGCTACCACACGCAGACCCGACGACCAGGTTCACAACGTAACGGTCTTGTGTCAGGTGCCAGTGCATGTTTGGTCCTCCAGTGCTCTGATTGAGCAACAGTGGCTGAGGAGCCAACTCCGGATCCCACATGAATCCACGGTCAAGCCAATCGTAATTCAAGTTTGCAGAATTCACCATTCACCACGTTCAGGGCCGTCGGCCTGTGAGCTCAACAACATGGGTGTTCGTCTGTTTCTATGGTTCAACTCTACATCGAAAGATCTGGAAGGCTTAGTTATGGTCACAGCATTGCTAGGCTGTAAGAGATATAAGGCTTACATGCTGTTGTGTCTGCAGCTTGTATGGCACACTTTTGGGGCAGTGCCCGGGCGATGGTTTCCATGTTGCTGTGAACGTGGACCATACCAGGAACGAACGGTTTCTTGTGCTCTCAAAGAACATACATGATTCAGGTTTTGTGTCTGTCAATGTCGTTGTTCGATCCAAGCCACCGATGGACATGCATCATCGAACGCGCGTGCCTCTAGGTTGCACAGGCGCGACACGTTATCAGCACGCCAGCTACCTCCAAAAGCAGGCTTGAAGGACAGATGTTGTACTCGGACGCGTCAACCTGCCAGCAGCTGGTATCCGTTGCTAAGTGGAACTGTTGGGGCGCGGACCGTAACACAATGCAGGACTACCCCAGGTGGGCTGTTACGCGCTCAAAGTCTATCGGTAGACAAGACCAGTCGGTAAGGCTCCCGTGCCTCCCTTGCAGTACATCATTAGACGGACATTGCAGTGACATGCTCCGATGATCTGAGGCTTGGTGACATTCCGGCTGCAAGGCCCCTGAAGCTCGGCAGCACAGCAGCGGTCGCGTACCTGAAGGCAATATAGTTGTAATTGCCGGATCCGAAAGGCGCTGCAACGGTTACTCGTAGATTGCAGTTACACTGAAAGCTCATCTCGGTCATGGCTACCGGAGCAGTATGGTTGTTGAACGGAGGTTTACCTCGAAGTAGTGCAACTACCAGCGCAAGCATTTCGCCTCGGTACCAACCGAAGCCTAAGATGACTGTACCTCGATCGATTTGGGTGGCATTGGGTAGCAAAAATGCCTCAGGCACGATTACCGTACGATGTTGGCACGAGATGAGTAAACCTCGAAGACTCTACACAGTACCCAAGGTATTTCTACGTGCCTGGCCTCGCGATTTGCTGCCAACCCGACAGTACGGATACGCTACGAAGATGACGGTCATTACAGACAGGAATCGGCCCGTTCATCCATGGGACATGTCAAGCGCCTGCCTGATCCAGGTGCTAGCTGCGCCGCGGCCTCGCCACACGACAGGGATGGGCAAATGCGGGCGGGGATGCGAAGCGACCACCACAATCACGTGAAGATCGTCACGATGCAGATAGCGCTGCGGGGCAAAGCTTGGTTCGCAACACGAAAAGCACGCGTGAATTGTGAGCAGGCACCATGAACGCCACCACCGCATGCGCCGTGTCTGTTGATGCTGAGCATGTTGAACATGAGGACGCCGTGCCATCGCATGTTTTCCCCTTCCTCAGGCTTCCACGAGAGCTGCGGGATCAAGTACGCATCTCTGCCGCCACTCCGTTGGATCTCAGGCTGACGGCAATATAGATATATGACTACACTTTCGCTGCGCAAGAGTTCAGCGTTGACCGGGCCATTGAGCGACGTCACCTGAAATATTTCAAACCCAGCGCTGCTGCCATCCTCCTCATAACCCGCCACCAATACTTCCTCCTCAACCGTCAAGTCGCCCGTGAAGCCCTCGAGATCCTGTTCAAAAACCACACCGTCTACCTCAGCTGCGGACCATTTGTTCTCAAAGCACTGCTAGAGAAGATCGAAGAACCCAATGGACCCGGTAGACAATGGCTGAAATGGCTAAAGAAGATAGAGCTGGATTGGGAAAACCTGCCCAATCTGCAACACTACCCACCTGACCGAGAAGAAGGAAGGGACGTGTGGTACTGGGAGCATGACCAAGAAGAAGTTGACGTCGACTACATGAGAGGCGCCTACTACAGCGGCCACTACGACGAACACGACCACGAAGGCGGATCCTACGACGACAACATATACGACGCCTCCAACGCATCGCTATACCCATCCTTCCGCCAGCCAGCCACCACACAACCCCCCAACGCAAACGACCCCTTCGGCTTCACAAACCATTACCCCTTCGCCGACCCAACACTCGACCCCGTCCGCGAAGCCTCTGCCGCAGACATATCGACGAAACTCGACCTCCTCGTCTCCATGGAAGTCACACCCCTCTTCACATACCTCGCCTCGTCCACGTTCAATCTCAGCAGCATAACACTTCCTTTGAGGTTCATATCCCGCGGCTCACACCAAAGCCGCAGCGTCTCGCGACCAGGCTTCGCTCTACCGCTTAAGATACGGTACTGGGTTCAAGTCTGCGTCCACGCCCTCCTCATGCTCACTTCTGCGCATGAAAGCGGTACATCGTCATCGACGCCATTACAAGAGGTGCGTGTCAAGTACGCGCCAGTTGATATCTGGGCGTCTATGGAACCGACGGACGACTTGCGCCGTATTGTCGACTTGGGAGTCTGGTTCGATAACCCGGAGGAAGGTCAGGAGATAGAGAGGGAAGGAGAGGGCGAAGCGTTCCGCGCTGTTTGGGACGGAATGCGAGCGAGGACTTCGTATGAAGAGCGGAAGAGGTTGGGGAGCAGATGGGGGTTGAAGGCTGATATCACGTTTGATCCTTGGGATGGGGATATGGATAAGGGGAGGGTGGGTGATGAAGTTGAGATTGTTTTCACGAGGAATGAGGACACGACTCCAGTGTCTTGAGGGTAGAGTTCTTGGAATGAGTACGGCCAGCTCTCTCGACCTGGACGATTGGATAAGGACAAGCCGGCTACATGGTGATAGGATGTTCAATGATTGAAACGTTCAGATTGTCGACATGCTTACATGTGTTTCGTTCCTAACAGTCACTTGATGAGATCAAATCTTAATAACGATTAAGTGAAAAGTCTCTTTATTCGTACACGTCTTGTCTGATATCAAAGGTCTGGTCACTATGCTACAGCACAAGCCCTAATAGCCAATTATCTATGCCAGTGTTCATCTCACCTACTGCCATACCAAATGCCTCATACAGGCAGCATGACACTTGGAGAGGAACAGACAGAAGCGGCGGCATGAGAAGATGACAAGAATACACAAGCCAACAACAACCTGATACACAAACGCAGCGCTGGAACACCAGTCTCGTATGCCTCATCCTCAAAACCTCAACAGCCGCTCATCCGCCGGCACTGTAAACGACAGCCGTGGGTTGTGCGGTTGAGACGCCGCCTAAAAGTCCCAGAACGACTTGTCCGCACCCTTCCTACCGCCCATGCCGTCACCCTCCGTCTTGATACCAGCACCATTGTTGTTCTCCTTCTTGACAGGGCTCTCCTCGAAGAGGGACCACGCAGCCTCAGTGCCCTTGCGCCCACCCATACCATTACCCGCAATGTTTATGCCGCGGTTCTCTGGTGAGTCAGCGTGCGTGCCCCAGTGTGTCTTCATGGAGTTGCGCGTCTGCGTCTTGGACTGCGTTACATCGTTCAGGGCGCGCCTTGCGTCGCTGTTGTCGCCGCTGGTTTCGTCCGTCTTGTCCGTGACGTGGTCTTCGTAGAGGCCTTGGCCTTTGTTGCTGCGTCCGCCCTTAGTGGGTGCGGCTTTGCGCTGGCCTTCGGGTGTGCCTTCGTCGACGAAGTCGAAGTGGGCGTCTTGGTCGGGGCGCGCCTTGTGCACGATTGGGCGGCGGACGGGGGAGGTATCCTGTGGTGGGTATATGTTAGCAGGGGTTCAGCTGGGTAGCAAGAGACAGAGATGTAGCAACCTCCGTCTCTGGCTGATAGTGTTCACCAACCTCATCGTCGCTCCAGCCAAAGTGACGAACGGCATTAGGAAGCGTCTTGGGCTTTGACTTGTTCGGGGTGGCGAAGTCGTCAAAGTCCCAGTGGGCGTCGTTCCTGTTGCGGTTCTGGTCGTGCTTGGATGGTCGCGCAGTGTCTCGTACCTTGGGTGTCTCCTCGCCTTCGCCAAACGTGAAGTGGTCGTACTTCTTGGAGCTCGTCTTGATGCTCATCGGGGCGACTGGGTGCTCGTCTTCTTCCTCTTCAAACAATCGGTTGGCCTTGAAGTTCTTTCCGCTGCCTGCTTTGGCTGGGATGCGCTGGGGCGAAGGAGACGGTGAGTCGCCCCCTGCGCCAGCGAACAGCTCAGAGTACTCGCGTGGAGGCGGCTTCGCGGATTGAGCGCGGGGCGCGGCCGGCCCAGAGCTGCGAGACTCCCGCTCCTCAGTGTCAACCTCGCGAGGCGCAAACAGGGCGAGCGATGCGTGCGGGTCGTTCATGGCATTGTTCGTTGATCCCCTCGAGCGAGAGCTGATGGAGACTTCATCTGCGCCTCGTGAAGCTGAGGTTGAGGGCCGCGACGACGCGCTCGACTCGGTCTGTGCAGCTGCCGCATTGGATGTGATGAGGCGGATCTGTTCGCTGCTGTCGCGGATGGGCCAGTTGCGAGAGCGCGCACCGATGACGTCGATCTGCTTGAGCAGAGAGCCCTGGTCCCAGTACTGGCGGATCTGTGTAATCTTGCCCGACTTGTCAAAGTGGACCATGTGCACCTGTCAGTGTCAGTGAACGCGTGGAGAAGGCGTGCACCCCATCCAAGACGAAACCGAACAGGTCTGTACAATACATCGGGATAGAATCCGCAAAGTAGAAGACTGAGCGTCAACGTAGGCTTCAGATGTTCGGTTTCCTTTTTGAGTGAGGTGGGAGGACGTGGATTGAGTCAGTCACATACCATAGGGAACGTCACAGTTCGGTCGGTGACGAAATTGTCATCCAGGCCTGGCAGGTATGCGCCGCCACCGTTGACGAACTCGATAGTCGTCTCAACGTCGATACTCAGGCCATTGCCGCCCTCAATCGCGTTGAGCACTTTCTCCTTGGTCTTTTTCAGGAGCTTCTCCTGAACAGACAGGTGCTTGATGATGGCGGTCGCGTCGTTGATGCTGGTCGTGGTGGTGACATAGTGGAGCGAGGCATTGTCCGCCAGCGCACCCGAAGAGGGCGTCGCCAGGAACCTGGTGTATGTGTCGCGGAGCGTCATGACGCCTTGTATATAATAGCTGTTTAGCTAATTGCTGTTGTGCGTATGTATACCGGGGCGAGTGTGGTGGCGGGTCAAGTGGGGTGTGATGGCTGTGGTGATACAAATGTTGTGAGTAAACAATCGCGGCCGGACGCGCGTAAGATTATGTAGCCAAAAGCGGTGGGGAAGGTGAAAGGGGAACCACAACATTGAGCGCAGCAGGCTCCCATATGGACCGCAAGAGCCCCCGGTCTCTCCATCGCAAGGTGTTGTTTATGCAGGGGTCCCGCGACGCCCCACCTCGATCAGCCACCAGAAGGGATAGCCGGACTGCGGAGATCAACGCGGAGAACAATGTCATGCAGCCTGCAGCTAACGGCTTCGCGGTGGGGATCTCGTTTGTTGTCGCACACCATCTTTTTCGATTTTCCTACATTCGCAGCCATTGAATCATATAGATTGAGCAGCGGAAGTTGGCCCTTGTTTGCTTAATCGTACCGCAATTACCGGCGTGTTTCAGATCTGTTCTGGTGTGCCGTCCATTCTAGGACGCCTAGAAAATGTCTATTCTTCATTCAGTTTCTCGATATTGCGCGCGTTGTCGACAAAAAGACTTACTTCTATACAGCTTCTTGCGGTGTTCGATTTCACTACCGATAGGAGTGAATGTGTCAATCCTCTCGCTATCTTTCCCATGATCTCATTAGACTTGTCGTTCCTTTTTGTGTGGTCCACTCTACTCTTCATTTCTTCTGCGTTATCAAAAGAGCAAGAAATAGCTTGCCGGAATTCCAAGCAAAGTATGTGGGAACACAACGTGTCGTTGCAACGCTGATATATGACATTTGGGACTCGACATGCATTCACGACGCGCCGAGGCGATGTACAATCGAGCATGTATCCGCTGAAGATACATACGGGTTGTGACAAAACACGCGTTGTTCAACGAACTTAATTGATTAGATTCCCGGGGTTCGTCTGCGAACCATTTCTGAGTGAATCGAGTAGGATTATCCGAAGTCACTCTGTCGACTGCGACTTTCACGTGAATCTGAGACAGTGATGGTGCCCACGAAGGTATGGACTGTGCGCAGCTGGACAATTGTGTACCGGCCGCCTGGTATTTACTTCCCTTTCTCTACACAACCCAGTCTGACATCACTTCCCGGGTCCTCTCCTCGCCGGCTCCGACACTCAACTCAGAAAACGAAGGACTACTGACCTACGCTCAAACCTACAACTTAACATGGCCTCAACTGATATGGACGACTTAAACTGGGGCATAGGGGATCGCGATCTGAACGACATAGAAAGTGATCTTGTGAGGGAAGAGGAAGAAAAGCGCCTTCGCGAAGAACAGAACATAGACCAGGCGTTGGATACATTTGAACTGTACGACGACGCTCTGGCGATGGTGCATATCAACGACGACATGTACAGCTACACTTCGGCGTCACCTTCGCTCCAGCTTCTTGGCCTGACGGAAGATGACAATGCACTTGAGTCCTTCTTTCGGCTGTTGCGATTGCACAAGTCAATCGAACAAGAAACTGTTCCAAATCCGAATTTAAGGTTTCTCGAAGACGGCATGCTAGACGCCACACCAGAATCAGAAGAGAATAAGATAATATGCCAACGCAATGTCCAGTCCTCCAGGCTCCTAACATTACCAATCGAGGTCCGCAATCAAATATTTGCCGAAGCCATGGGTGGCTTCAGCATCTTCATCAAATCGAGGCGTGTGGATTATGGAGAGTACAATAAGCAGGAATTGTCGCGGATCACGAACCGCATCAGACTACTCAATTCTTCAGCCAGTACAGCTCTCCACGAGACACATTTGGAGGTAGGGCCTAAGGATTTCCTAGATGTAGCATCCTGGCACAGTTCAAAAGTCAGAATCACACGCACCGACTTACCAGGTGGTCCAAAAGAGGACACTCCCTTTATCGCGCTTCAGTCGACATGCCGGCAGATATATACCGAAACTGCACTAGTTCCATTTTCTGGCATCAATCGGTATTGGTACTATAACGACTTCGCTCTCAGCGCCCTGAAGAACCGCATCACATCAGCTCAAACTGGAGCCATCACCAAGCTCTTCTTTTACGTGAAGGCTATTGAATATTCGAGCAGACCGAACGACATTGGAGACTTCGACTTGAAGCGTGTTCAGAATTTGAGTACGTTGACGGGGTTGAAGTACATTCACATCGTTGTTGTGGTAGGAACTTCTTCCAAGTCCTCGTTCCGTCCGTCGCAGATTGCGGCGCTCAAGCGGATAGAGGCTGGATTGGGTCCTAGGCTTCTGGAATTCGCACCCAAGGATGTTGAGTTGGCGTTTGAGCTTCATCGTCTGGAGTAGTAGGATATGGTCAGGCGCACACTAGCTACTGTGTGACTGATGTGGAAAATCTTAGTTGCCAAGACGTTAAGCTGAGGGCTTTCTCGGTGTCGTTTTTGCGTTGCTACTATTGCGGGAGCCATGAGTGGCTCCTTCTTCGTTGGTAATCGCAATCTCCAATCTACCGAATTTGGCTGGGCGAATTGTTTTAGTATTGGTAGAATATCCTCGTTACCTACTCAACGATCCAAATTCGAAACTGGGGGAATCCCCAGTGAATGAGCGAGCGGTCGACTTACGGCCTAGCGCAACAGACCCTCAGTTCTTCTTTCCGGCAGCGCTGGCCGTC